GACATGGTGTTATTCCATAGCGAACTTGTGGTTCATTTCGACAAAATAAACTTTTATCATTTGTTGCTACGATAGATTGTGCTCCTCGATAGGAACATGTCTTCATATAGAAGAGATCCACATCAATTTGAAGATAAAATTCTAATGCCAAAGAATATTCATCTTCATGAAGATATTCCTGATTTGATTGTGTTGAAAAACGTTGCATTCGGTGTGTCGCCAACATTTGAGCTAATTGCATAAGTCGCATAAAGTTAAATTCCAATATATTTCTGTTGACATTCCATAAACGACTTAAAGAAAAGATTTTTCGTTTATGATCAGTGATGGGTCTCATCGATGTGGATTGATAATATCCTTGTGTACATCTTCGTTGTAATTCTTCTTGATTGAGATGATGTACTACATTGCGAAGAAGAACATAGAAAAACAAAACAGAACATAAAAAAAAACAATAGAAAATATTCAAATCATAGATTCATTTCTGGTTTCATACATGGAACATTTGTCAATAGTAAATGTACATCTCTCGTATTGTCAGAAGTGGGATAGGAAGGTAAAATTGAATATCGTCCGTTTGATGGCGAAGATGATTCTAGTAATGTACATGATAAATATGTGCATGCTGGAGTTTTATCAGATGCAAATGAAGTCAAAACTAGAACAGTCTAACGCAATGGATCCTACCTGATGTTTGATCTTGATGAAACATAATCTGATACTTCGATGGATTGATATTGCAAATGAATAAAATCAATCTAGAAAACTAGACAACAATAAAAAAGAAAAGACATAGAATTATTTTGATCATGTCTGGTATTTCTATGGTGTGTTTGTATTCAGCATTAGTTTTGTTTTTGTATGCTATAGAAAATGTATGATAGGATATTAACAAAATCATTCAGAATAAAATGAAAGAAAAAAAAAAGTATGCGTCTCTATCATTCCATGTCTTCGTCTTGTTGGTTTTGGTTATTGTAATCAATAATGTTCGATATTTCATAAAATATATTGAGATGTTCAGTTCGATGCTGCTTTTCCATTCTATCAATGAATTCGAGATTTTGAAATCATAGTGTTATTGTTGTTGTGAATGTTTATATAAGTATTCATTTCATATTTAGTCAATGAAATAAATGACGTGACACTATTACTACTTATCACCATCGTTTCAAATCATACGAGTGCTTTATTCAATCGGCAACAGTTTGCCTTGACATTCTTCTTTGATTGTATTAGGTACACCCAATCCGATATGAAAAGATTCGACAATGAACAGTATTCAAGGACGAGGATTCTGACAATACTATTCATAAACACCCTTGTGAATCAGATCCATATTGAGGATCTAGAATATTTTTGCTTCTGTTTGCTATTTTCTTGTGGATGTGATATTGAAATGATAGTTATGAGTGACGTCATTTGAATTTTCAATAGGGTATGTACGGTCAAGTTAACTAACGCAAATGTTCCATTATTTGATTTCTTTCTCATTGAGAATTTCCATCCGTTAGTTTTTCTTTCTATAAATCATACTGATCATCGACGACATTCTTATCTAGAAATAAACAAGAAACAAATGATAGAATTAGAAGACACTGAATTTCAAATGAGCATAGAAAAAAAAACGAAGCAAAAATGATTTTCTGGTGATAAAATATCGAATCGAACACTGTATCAAAACAAACGGAAATCTATTTATTCTAGAATTTTATATGATTTATTTCAAAAGTGGGCAAACTGGTTTTTCTTCTGTTTTTTGATAAAGTATTTAGAGAAAACAGATGTTTAGCATTGAAATAGACTTTCGTCTTTATTGATATTAGATGTGGATGATTCATTTTTTTAATGAAGTGGACTAAAATTTCATCGAATTCTTCTTGAAACACATGATATCGACGATAATTATCATACAGATAATACCTATCGATCCAATGTTCATTATTTTCCACTCTTCGAATGCCTCATTCAATGTCTGACATTGTTCTTGAATAAAGTCAAATGGGTACAACAATATAATTTCTGAGAGATAGTTTTCAGTCATTCCAAATCGATGGGCTTCCACATATGAAAATAATGATAAAAATTTTCTAATTCATAATTCAATAATATCATTTGGAATACACCGTTGTTAAACAAGTGATTCCCATAGAGATTCGTTCTCGATTGAAATCTTAATAATTACTAGATAATGGTACACTACGTAGAAGTGCTGATCGAAGCCAATGTTGATGTTTGAGCTTTGGAATGACCAATAACATAAAGTAAGATTAAGTTTGATCCATTTTTTCGTCGAATGATAAATACAGGTAGATAATTGATTTAGACGATTTTCAATATGAACATTGCAAAACAAATTGATACATTGATCTTATGATAGATTCCTATGAATATTTTTCATCTCATCCTAACAGAAGAAAACGAAAAGAAATAAGAAGATTTTTATCAGAAACAAAAGAAACCCAAAGAATAACCTAGAATGGATATCTATGTGTTGATATCATTTTATACAATTGATATTGATTATTTGTGGTGTTGTTGAATGAAAAATAAATGAAATAATGAATTGAAGCCAAGAACATATTGAATTGATCGTAGTATTAAGCAAAAAGAGATAAAGATGGAAAAAGAAATTGAAAACGTACTTCTCATATATTTTGATGTATCAACAGCAAAAGAAGAGAAGAAAAAAACAATTATAAATTACAAAGAGTATTTCTATTCTATCCTTCATGGAGGAACCATACAGGTTAAACTTGAAACGTGAAATTTCAGTTGAATTCAAGTTTCAAATTTTATACGACGACTTGAATGTTCAATGTTTATGATTATGATTATGATTATTATGATTAGTTTTGTTCTC